AACAACAAACAAGACAGCGAGCAAATGCGCAATTGCGTCGTAATTCACTATAATTCTAAAACGCTATTGCCTTTTAGAAAGTCTTTCTACTTGTAGAAAGCGTTTCAGGCATTTTTCATTTGAATGCCTGATTTCGCCGATCGAGGAAAAAATGACATTTTTTTCGCGCGTAAGTACAAAATTGTATAACGATTTTGAACGATGAACCGTTAATCAGGACCGTGCGAATATATTTCTTTTTCTTTTCCTTTCTCTTCTTCCTCTTCCTCGTCTATTCTATTCGATAATAGCTCTATTCAATTGTTTCGTCCACGAGATTTCAAAGATCTGCCGTGATTCCGTTAGATCGACAAAAATTAAACGAATGTGCCCCTAATTAACACAGTTGTTCGACTCGCGTGGCGAAGAGATAACAACCGGGTAGGCGGCTCGAATTGGCACGAATTAAGGCCTAATAAAGTTATACTCTGGGCTGGCCTTTGCTCGTCATCGACTCGTCAATGCGTGCACTTAAAGAAATTGATTTCGATTCTTGTCACGTTTTTTTCGCGGCATCGTCACAAAGTCGATCGCAATATTTAACATGCCCATTTGTCTTGTTCGATATCTTCCCGTTGCCCCCGTTGACCGTGACATTTTTCTAGATCGATAACGAGTCTTTCGCGAATATCGATTGATTTAGAAACTAGCGACTCGTAATAATATTGATGTTGTGTTGTAACCACTAAGAAAAAAAGACGAATACGTAACGCGTATATTATAGCTACCGCATTCGTAATGCGATAATGCACACTTTTTAAATAATTTTTGCTCGCTGAAATATAACCGTCCGACTAATAATAAAATAATATCTCTTGCGAAGAATTTGCGCGCATGAACGTTCGCATTGACAAGTAGCGGTTCGTAGTAAATAAACTCGCAACCGATGTAACCCAGTTCTCAACCGACGACGTTGTTCAACAGAGTCGTCGGTGAACGCACTCTGTTAGCTCTCTGCTAGCCAGTTCCTTGCCTTCAGCTAGCTATTGGTAATACTATTATTAGTAACGAGCTAACGTACTTTCTGCCGTCTGTTATAACGCTATAACAGCTTGATCGTAATGCGTGCTCACTGTTATCAACATCGATCACGAGCAAATATTCCTTGGCATTCGAACTTTGATAGGGACCTTCAGCTAGCGCGCTCTTTGCACTAGATAATCAAAATGTACAGACGGATAGTCGAACGATAAACCTAATCGACCACCGAGCAATGTTTTCGTTGGTTGTTAGACAGGCTGAAGGGGAAACGTGTTACGCGTGTTCTTACGTGCGAAGACGAGGAGAGACAGAAGGGATTGCGGCAAAGGTAGCCGCAAGAGAAGCGAACGGTGGTGGGCCTGGGCTAAAATTAAATTAGCCAAAGAGACACTTCTTGATTTACCCCGGTACCAAGAGTTTTATTTGGAGATGGGCCAAGGGTAACGGACTCTTCGTGTTCATCGAGAAAAGTTTATCTTAACCTTGAAACATCTGACATTTTTTTTTCTCTCTCTCTCTCTCTCTCTCTCTCTTCTTTTCCCCCTCTTCTTTTTTCCGATCATTTAATTGAGCATTGTTTTAACCTTTGACGCGACTCGTGAGACATTCGCATGAACCTACGTCATTGCGGCGAAGTCACCATCCGATTTAATTCGATTGCTACAATGCGATTAAGTCTGTCTATATTCAGTTAGTTGAAGCTTCAGGCAATGGAACGATCCAACTAATTAGAGGATAAATGAAGGAATTTGTAACTCTCTCGGTGGAATGTACGTCCGTCGACCGGTTAAACGGATATACGTGAAATAGTAACCTAGTTTACGAATGCGAATTTATCATTTTATTTATATGATTGCAGAACGTGGGGGAGAGCCGGATACCAGTTCCACGCGCGGCACGGCCGTCTTTTTTCCCGAAATCGAGAGTACTTGGTACACCGTCGCTTATACCTGGGCATCGGCGTTCATTGATACTCTCGGGATGTTTACAATTCGTCGATGCCGAGGACGAGTCCGGTACTCATAAAAAGTGTGGGCCACAAGCTGTGTCTACACCGTCGATCGAAGGTAAATAATTTTACATAGCGCGATAAAAATTGACAAGATTTAATTTTTTCTTCTTTCTGAGATAACGATAACAATTTTTTTTATTTGACCAGATTCGGGACCTAAGACATTCACGATATCACCCGTGTGGGATATTGATAAAGATGACGTGCAACAACTGGCTAATTTTTCCGAAGAAAAGAGCAACTTTTTCAGGTATGACCAGTATGGATTAATAGGTTTGTCTGTTAAACTTTAAATTCTATAAATGACAATATTTGTTTATCGGAAAAGTACTTATTTTTACATAATCTAACATAATCTTCCGATTATTAAGAATATTAAAGATTTTTATTAAGAATAATTTTTTACAATAATGAATTTTAACTTATCTGAAATGTATCATAAATCTTATTTTTATTAATTATGATGGGAATGAAAAATTAATTCATGAAATTAATGAAAAATTAATTTCAAATGCAGGATATAATTGTTTATTGAAGAATAGGTATTACATGAATTATCTGGAATTCACTTCAATTATTGTCATTTATAAAGAATCTTATACATCGGTATTCAAGAATCTATATTACATCAATATTAGAATAAATGTACGATAATAAAAATGATATTTCGTACTATTATCTGTACAGTTTGCTCGAGAATTCTCAATTGAATATGATTGAGGACGCCGGCGATAGCTGCCTCTTGGATACATCTCTTGGTTACAATGATACCGCAATAAACGCAACACCGCACTATTTAATGCTCAACAAACAGAACTCCTTTGAACATGACGAAAGCCTGGGTATATTGACTCCCGACCAGATGACCGACTTCACAGTTGCACTAGAGTGCTCTAGGACACCATCCTGCGAAAATCTTACAGGATCAGCAGGTTCTAGATTAGCATTAACGAGAGCATCTGCGTCACGACCATCCGCCGATGTTGAACCGACCGAGGAGGCTTCTAGCGAGAGGACACCGTCTCCGGAGGAACTTCCACTGGATCCTAAACCCACGGAACCCGTTAGAGGCACTGTTCCTATCAGTTTTGTAACATCGGTGACGAGTATCACTAGTCTTGAGGCTGGATATCAAGGTGACGGTGAAAACTCAAGGCCAGCAAGTCGTGGGGCTGATCCACCGTCCGTCGCACCACCGCCAAATCTTCCCGTTCCTTGCAGGCAAGATCCGATGACGGATTCGGATTTCTTTACGGAAAGTGATGCTGACGCATATGAAGAAATCGTGCGCGGTGATAGAAAAGCTCAGGTGATCGACGGTACTCTTTTCTGTGCGCCTGGTGGCCGAAGATGTCCGAGCTTTACCGGAGAAGAAATGGATTCGAGTGGAATTTATTCAGATCTTGATAAAAGGCAGGACGAACTTCAAGCTCCCGAGGAAGCAATTGAGGAACACGGGGATCGCACGCCGGATACTATTGATACCGAAGTTTCCCAGAGAAGTCAGCCTACACCGATTAAAGCGGACGTTATTATGGATTATTTGCAGGCGAGTTAATAATTTTGATTATTGGTTCACATATGTTCGTGTATATATATATATATTTTTTAAGATAGCTCGCGTAACTAATAATATTTAGGCTCCTGTAAATTCTCTGGATGGATTAACTGATTCGAACGGTTCGATAAATCCTGTGGAAGTCACGGTAATCGAGGTGGAAAGGACGAATGACAGCATAAGATCGAAAGCACAGAGCAAAGCTGATTTAATTCCGTTGAAGAAATACAAAATGCCTAAGAGAAACGTTGTCTCGAAAATCAAAGCGATGATTGAATCCGGTCCAAAGGATGAAGCGGAAAAAGAAGCTCGACGTTTGCAGAGATCTAGAAATGGACGTTGGGATGCTGTTATGAGTAAAATTGAGGCTGGAAAAAATGAGCAAAGAACTAGGACGGTTAGAAAAGAAGTGAAATCCAGAGTACTCCAAAGTATTGGTCAATCATCTTCTACAGGATCAATTCAAAAAAAAGTCGGTGATGCAAATAATAATAGTAATAAGGATAAAAGGTAAGATATCGATTCCATATTTCTATCTTTAAAACTTTATATTCGTATTTAGCTTTGCTAAAAAAAAATTACAAATTATCAGGAGAATACGTGGCCGGCAAGAAACAAAGTCACCAATTGAAGAAACTGCCAGAAGCTCCGTTCGTAGCTCTCTGAGTGATCTCAGCACTGGACGCAGCAAAGACGCACCAAGTAAGTTAAATTAACATCTACTTTTAAACGATTGCAAATTAAATTAAAGTACAATGTCATTATTTATATCAATATCTACGATGCTTCAAATTTAATATGAAAGATATGTAATGCTATTTAATTTAATTTTAATTTAAAAGTTTTATTTAATATTTAATTTGTAACAGTTTTTTTTTATTTATTCATTTATATCTTTCAATTTATAAGACTGAGATAGGATGTAGGAATAGTAGTAGTTTGAAAAAGGGAATAAAAAGACTTTGCGGAGAACAGTGAAGCTTGAATAAATATGATGCCGGTTGATTTTGTGATATCGAGTTATGTTTGACCGCATACCATACATTTTGTAAAAAAAAAAAATTCAAAACCGCAAAGGTTAACAAAACCAGTAATCGTTTTGCATGATATTTCAATTGCTATTTTTCATATTAATAAATCAAAAGTAGAGCTTGAAACAATTTTCCATTTGAAAAATTCTAAACCCGATCTACAAATGGCAATTTTATGCGCATCCAATCATCAAAAAGATATTGATAAGATCGATCGATTTAAGATTTAATATAACTGCCCCTTGTAATAAAATAATCCAAAATATATATTACATTTTTAAAAATTGATATTTAAACTAAAAGAAATTGTTTTATATTTCAAAAAATTCAAATATCGATAATAGAAGGAGATAAAATTCCAAAAATTCGTCTAAATTTTCTCTAAATTAAATAAATTAAAACCATTCTTAAATCTATCGAGATAAAACGAATCAATTTTTTGGATTCAAATACACGTGCCTTCGATTCGTCTGGCGAGATGTTCTAGAGCCGATATATATCGCGTAGGTGATTCGTTCCGCAAAAAAGGGTGGGAGTAGCTATAAAAGTGGGCGTAGAAGGGTGTTTTGTATCGACCCGGTGAGGACGCGCGAAAGTTAGATAGGAAAAAGAGCAAGGGCGCCGATGGCCCCTCTTCCGGCGCCACTGGATCGTTTCCATTGGAGGCAGGCGTGAGCAGCCGCAAAGCAGCATCCAGTCGGCAGTCCTCGGCGGACCTCGTGTTGGCTCGGACGCTGTTTATGCACGCGTGTTGCATTTCCGGTCTCCCATCTTTCTCGCTCTTCCTCCCTTATAGCTGGTTGGTGCCACCGTTTCGTCTGTCCTCCTCTCGCTCTCATTCTCTCTATCTTCCTTTCTCACGTCTCTTTCTCTACCCCATTGGGATCAGCAGTTTTATCGGGACTGGACGTGTGCGCGACAAAAAGGACAGGGACAAACGCGAGAACGAACAGCCGGTGCATCGGTCGTCAGTGTATGCCGCAAGGTGACGGTGCAAAGTGCATCGGAGTTACGATCGTACAACTTTGAGCAACGATAAAACTATAATTGTTCTTCGTTCTCGAAATTGTTTGTTCTCCGTGCCCTATATCTTGAACACTTTTCGAAATGTAACATATATAGCGATATACCGTGTTAACTATATTTACGAACTCATCCGACGTGACCTAATTTTCTACCCATGTCGCAAGAACGTTCGCATTTTCCCTCGCTCGATAGAACGCAGAGAGGACGATCGAAGAGAACGTTGGGTGTTTGGGTGAACATCAAGTGAGAAAGATAACCTCGCGAATAGCAACCCTGCCTCGTACGCCTACAATATGTTATTGCACATTCGCTTCGATCGGCGGAAGAATCTGAACCGCAAGACTGAATGCCTTAAGACTGGATTTTACCATCCCCCCTCTGGGGCCGTCCAATGAAAGTTTCCCAAGATACCGTTACGGAATCTTTGGCTACGTTCCTGTTTGTACTTGGACGAAGATAGACAAGAATAGGAAGATTCAAGGCAATCAACCTTTTGCTCTAACTCTTCTTACATACATTAGAAGCTCGACGGCGAGCTTTCGGGTCAACGGCACTAGTAGTTTATTTCCGGCATTGCCTTTCTTTAACCGGCCACCTTATACTTGCGCCGTACACGTCCTTCGCTCGACGCCGGTGGTTTTCTCATGTCCCCACCCTTTTAGACAGGTGCACCCAGCGACCACGTGCGTTCCCAAGGCCGACGACCACCGATACGTACCCGGTCTGATCTACCACTTACGCAATCGCCATCAGAGTCAGATGTTAAACCCACATGGCTGAGGACATCGTCGTGATACGTGCCGGTGAAAGACACTCGTTGCGCTCCTCGATTCAGGTCGTGGAAAGAATGTGCAATCTGTGATTTCTCGTCGAATATTTAGCGAGATGAAGCCGAGCTATTGAAACCCACATCTACAGATCACGAGGATGGTGGCAAAAGTGATGTGAATTGTGCAAATTGTACTACTAACTGGTGTCGAGATACGTACGATAAATAGAGGAACGTTTAAAATTTGTTAATAATATTTCGCAAAGATGTCAAGTATCTGTGAACATTTACGATTCCGATACTTTACGATCGAGGAATCGAGTTGGGTAACAAATCTTACCGTGGACTCAAAAGATATGACGGGATGAAGGCACTTGTTCGCTGCCTGCGAAACTGCCTGTGCCGGGTTTCTTTAGAATGATTTTGTTGAGAATGGAAAGGTGAAACAACGGTGAAAGTAAAGATTTGAAAATGGGACAGCAGGGATCGAAGGGTAGGCCAGCTCTTCGGACGGATTTTGTCAGAGACTCGGCGAAAATGCGACTCGGAAGTTTCAAGCGAGGTACGGTTGTATTTAATCCCGTCCCCTTAAACCATACTTCTATATGGAAATATGAAGCCGATAAACCTCTTCTCGGTTCTTTTATCTCGTTTCATAAAAGAAGAAAGAAAAAAAAAGAATATCCGTCCATGTGTTTTTTTTTTTTTTTTTTTTTT